ACATAATGATGAACTGTTCTCTCCCCTTCCTCCTCTCCTATAGAGTCTAATGTCTCCCAATCAGCTCCTTACTCAATATCAGTTATCTTCCTCTTCCCTAAATATTTTTTAACAATATCAAAATAAATAATAGTGTAATATATTAATAAAAGTCTAAGAAAATTATATTATTTATATACATTTTTTTATTTGTTCTTGAGTTGTGGTGAATGTAGGTGCTTTATGATCATCAAAGAAATCAACATTTAAAATATTCATCTTATAATTCAGACGACATCATTTCAACTTCATCATCTACAAACCACTCATCATCAGATGTCACATCCTCGCAAAGCAAAGAGTCTTCATCATCCATTAATCCTTTTTTCTTCAAATTCCTGTCTATGAGTCTCCTATTGTACATAATGTACACCAGCGAATTCATCCTTAATGTGGACAAATGATTTCTCCTCTTTGTATGCACTTGGTTGTGATACTTCATTTTCTTTCACAGCTAGATGAAGAGCAAGTCAAGCTCAAAACTTTCACAGCAAAACACTGTAATTCTAGAGTCCCATCACCAAACGGAATCCACCACTCAACTAAGATTTACATAAGGGAGTTTAATTAGTGCTCAAAGAACAACTTTTATATAAATGTTTAAAACATTAAATGAAATTACTTTAAGATCGTTTGACAATTGTACCATTTGCTTGTTGTAATCCAAAAAAGCCTTCTTTGTTCCTAAAAGGTACCAATTGCATGTTAGCATTTGATCTTTCAGTTGCATCACTTATCAGCCGATCCATCCAATGATACAATTCCAACTTTATTTAAAAGTTTGTAGACTTGTTCTCTGCATATTGATACTGAAGGTTTAAGTAATAGTCTACTGCATACAAGTGTTGGTGAACATATAGCTCCTACCTATCATCAATAATATTTAAAATTTCCCGAAAGCTTCCCTCTTCGCATCATAAGTTGCAAGCAATCATCTCTTTAGCTTCATCAATAGCATCGTAGATGAAACCCATTGCAGGATTCTTCACTGCATCCACCATCCTTAAAATTTAAACCAAAGATCAAGTGGTTGTAATGACGTACAAGATATTTTGTCAAAATCTGTCATTTGAAACAATCTTTCTAATCTTTTTTCCCTCAGTCTTTTTCGCTCAAGCACAACTTAATCACTATGTGGATGTAAATATACACTCTAAAGGTTGCCTAGCATCCAACATATTCTCTAATGTCAAGTAAGCAGTGACAGATCTTGTTGTTTCTGGCCTTATAATTCCTTTCTTTGAAAATTTCCTTAATGGAGCAAGAACTCAAGAGTGCAATCAGATCTATGCAATATGCAGCACATAGAGTCTAGTACAGATGTTTCCACTTCTCCATAATTTTTTTCCCTACAGCCTTGTAAGCACTTGTATTATCTGTAACCACTTGTACAACCAACTGTTCTCCAACCTTCTCAACAATGCTATCTAATAATCTAAATATGAACTCAGCATCTTTTGACCTGGTGAGATGTTTCAACTGACCTTAAAAAGACAGCACCATAATGATTATTAAAAAAGATGTTGATCAAACTTCTATGTTTTATATCAGATCACTCATCTAACATAATTGTTACACCTGTTTGACCCAAGTACTCTTAATTTCTTTAATGCTTTTATCAGTGTTATCCAACTCCTTCAGAATCTTTGTTCTAAAATCATACATGGTTGGAGGTTTGAACCCTCTCAAATGCTTTAACTGAACAAATCATATTGTAATAGGTAGGTGATGTTGTAACATTAAATGTAATTGCATTTTCAAAGAAGAATCTATCTATATCCTTACACACTCTTTTTCGTGCCTCCCTTGCATTCTCTGGGGACATCTTCTGTGTAGTAGAAGTTCTATCATCTAGTGTTTGCACCATATAATGATACATGGGACCTCTAGCACCCCTAGTTGAAATGAGCTTCATTTAAGAAAATGAACCCCTGACGCTACGCTCACTCCCGCAATATGAGCCAACATCAACTCTGTCCTCAAACTACTTCTATGCAAGATGTTTTGACATGGTAGACTTATTCATGTATGACTTTATCTCCTCCCTTACAATATCAGGCACTTTGGAGCATGGTGCAACATTCTTGTGAGATCCTGAAAGGTGATCCTTCATTCTAGTCACACCACCCTTCACAACTTTGTCACAATAATAATATTTTAGATATACATATGTTTTATCACTACCTCCTACATCCACCTGAGTGCTATGTTTCCATGTTAGATCCTTTCTATGACTTGATGTAGCTTTATCCTTACTTTTAATCATCCTTTATGAGAAGAATATAAAATAGAATATCAAAACATCAAGTCACTATAAAAAAACAACCTAATTTATACACATATATATTGAGCATCTTATAGACTTATACTTTTTATTATGCATGCCTAAACCGCATGTCCACATAAACATAAGTCTAACAAAAAGAGATCTAAATATTACATTAAAAAAAGCCCTATCATCTCATTTTCTTACACTATTAATGGCAACCATTCAATCAAATGACATTGAAAAATGTATACAAAAAATTTTTGTATCATAAAAGATCAAAATATTCTTTGTGCATAACTTACATTCATATTACATGTAGTACACCTCTCCTACTAAAATTTTCGGCATTAATTTATACACATCTATTAATCATCTTATACTTTTTATTATGCATGCCTAAACCACATGTCCACATAAATATAAGTCTAAATATTACATAAATAAAAAAGTCCCTATCATTTTCATTTTGTTACACTATCAATGGCAACCATTCAATCAAATGACATTGAAAATTGTATGTATAAAACAAAGCAAGATTGCATAAAATTTAAAAGAAAAAAATTTCGCCAAAAATGAATGAAAATCAAAGGAAGATGTCGATAAATGCGATGGTATAATAAAAAAAATCACATTTGAGTGCAAAGAAGAAGAGGAAGTAAAGCTATTTTACCTTTGTCAAAAAACCCTAAACTCCAACCATGAAGAAGAAGAGCTTTCAGCGGTCGATCGAAGGAGACTCCAGGCCAACTCGCAGTAGAAGAGAACTCCAAGTAAGAGGCGAAGAGCAACTCTCAGTGGAAGGAAGCCAACGCCGGTCGAATGGAACGAAGAGGGGAAAATGTCGCTCGAAGAATGAGAAGAAACCCTCGATTCGGAAATGATGGAAGACACGAGGGAGGGGTCGAACTAAATAGATAATTATTAGGTTAGGTTTTAATTTTTTTTTTAATTTTAAGAGGTGGACGCCTCTAAAACTTGAGGCAAGGCGTACGCCTCATTTCCTGCTCTCATTGTGTAGGCTTTAAGGCTTAAAAGAACTCAATTGCACTGAGGCGCGCTTTGAGGCGCACCACTTATTGTGCATTTTAAATCATGTTTAATAGGGAATCATGTTGCAGATATTCTTACCAAATGACTACAATCCCACATTCAAAAATATTATAAGTAAACTTGAAATTGTATATTTATATTATTCAATTCAAGAAGAAGTGATGAGGAATCATGAGATCCACAAGTCAAAAAATTTTTGTAGGGATCCTTGAGCACACTTATTAAGGACTATGATGTACCAACACTTCTCCTCAATGAGATATGCAGTGTCAAATACATATCAAACACGCATCAGACATGCCTCCGATATGTATCGGATACACTGATAACATGTCCGACAAAAAAAATATTAAAAATAAGTAGGGCACTAATCTTAAATATTTTATGAAAATTTTTTACTATAATTTCTTATATTTCAAATTCTCATTTATTTAAAAATAAAACTTAATATTTTTATTTCCTCTCAACAACCCCAAATCAATTGCTCGCACTCAATAGCCCATTCCCCAAACATAACATTTTTCATTTTTATTTTCAGATCGGAGTTAGGGTTTCACAACAATGTCTGATATCATCGAAACATAATCACAGCCCCACGTTGTCTCGACATCTCATATTTGATCAACATCATCTCAACATAGACGATCGATGTTGTCTCGGCATCGACACTCAATACTCTTGGCATCCTAATATTAATCATTTTAAACACAAATCTTAGTTAAATGATTTATTATTTCTCACATATTCTTAATAGTTTGCTTAATTTCTATAAAATAATTTTAAAATATAAAAATTATAATACCATGTCCAAGCCATGTTTGTGTCCTATATTTTTAATAATTGACATGTCCCGTATCCATGCATATCTGTGTATGTGTCATGCCTGTGTCTTTGCATCATAGATTAAGAGTTTTAACTACTAGAACGATCCACTTATGGCCCCTAGAGTAAAATCCATGTGCCTCTTCATATTTTAGCTGTCGACCCCTTCAGGGTTTTTTTTTCTTTTTTTAATGGCTTTTATTTATTTCCATTATTATCTTTTTAAGAAGCCTATACATACATTCACTGTATACAAAATCAAGCAATATAATTTTGGTATTTTCTACTTTTTTACACTAAGCACTCATATTAGATGGTAGAAGAGTAGGCACATAATCACTAAAAATAAAGATAACTGTAACAAAACAACTCAAGCGGGAAACCACAAAAGATTATGCGACACAAAACAGTGCCACAGGAGAAATAGGACGCCATCAACTGCGATCTAGCACGCTGACCACCAATGAAACCAGAGGGCATAAGCAATTTTTTGTGTTGAAGATACCAGAAAAACCATTTCCATTGATTTAAATTCCCAAATATTGCTGAGCAAAAGGCAAATTACAATCACATTAATACAACCACTTTAAATTCAAGGATAAAATTATCTAAATTGAAATTTAATTAATCAAATTTCCATCCAAGCAAACACAAGAAATCAAAGTTAGGTTATGATAATACACAGATTAGGTAACTTCAAATGGTTAAATTGCATAGCAGAATACATGATGACATACATAAACAGAAGAAGCCTTAAAAATATTGCAGCTTAAAGAAGCTTTACGTAGATCTTTGCCGAAGAATCAAATCTAAGGCATACCTTTGGTGGTTTAAAGGGATAATCTGGAGGAAAATGGATGGTGACTAGAAATACTCCTCCAGCATATGGGCTGTCAGGTGGACCCATTATTGTTGCTTGCCAATGAAACATATCCTCAGCTACTGGACCTGTACAAGAAAATGGCAATAAAGCATTTGTATTGGAACATTTAGAAGATTTATGTTTAAGCCCAACAGTTAGTTACGCTCATCATAAAAAAAGGGTTGTCAAGGCACAGTCCTATCAAAGCAAATTAAAAAAAAAAAAAAAAGTCTTCAGAATAAAGAGGACAATGAGTGGGTACAAATAGAATAGTACTTCACAAACTTGAGCTATTGTCTAACATGATTCACGCCCAACTGACAAACTCAATACAGAGACGTCTGTTTCTGAAAACTATAATTTCGTACACCCCCATTCCCAGAATATTTTATGGGATTGCAATTTTGCATTCCGATCATCACAAATCTTGGTGCAATATCTGGGTCACAAAGAGCTTGAGACCTAAAGCATCAATCCCTACAAATTCTTTCAAGGACTAAATAGACTCCAAATTTTGCAATTTTACCGTAAAAATTTACCATGTGCCGCAAAGATTCCAATGATCCCAAAATTGCCAAAATTCATGCACGTTTGGGCCTTGGATAGCCCAAATTAGACTAATACGGGCTGGTCTAGGAGGAAGAAGTAGAAGGGGCCAATCGACCCCCTTCTCCTTCCTAGGTCCAGTTGGTGGAAGGAAAGAGGGTCGAGGAGGGAGGCAGCAGGGTAGAGGGGGTTGCAATTCATCCAAGTAGATATGGACTATACAGACCTTCAATTCTCGATCCATTGGTGGCATTGGATTGCTCTCAAAAAGATAGAACATTTAAAGTGCAAAAATGACAATCTATCATCAGCATTCTATAATAATTTTAAATTTGAATTTGACATCTTTCTGAACTAGCAACGACTTCTACAGAGCTCTGCTTCATGAGTCATGTGCCTCATTAGATTATTCTTGAAGAGATAAGACATTTTGGTGCTAAGATCACAACATATTAATACAAATTTTTGGTGGCCCTAAATTAGAACTAGAAACATACCTAAAATTGTTCTGGTAAATCTGATAGTTGGAATTTTGATCTCTTAAATGTAGAGGACTTAAAAATGGTGAATTTCATTCTTTGATCGGAGAAATAGTTGATAGTGGCAGCCACCGACCTCTAACCAGCCACTCGTTAGGTGGCCCTAAGACAATCTTCTAGACACCATCTCTACCAAAGGATGAGATTTGGACCATATGATGATAGCGCCAGTTTAGTACATTAAAATTAAAAAATGCTAAAAAGCTCTTTCTAAATTCTATAAATATGTCCTAGATTTAAACATTTTAGACAATTGAAACCAAGTTTAAATTCTCATAACATGGAAAATTTCAAACCTGTAATATTAGTTGGATTGCTAAAAGATCATTCATTCTCGAATCTTTCCTGACCTATCATATCTAAGTTGTCCCACCCTCTCTCCTTATACGAAAAGGACCCCAACTAACTTCAATTGCTCGCCAACTTATGATCACCTTATTCTACTTCCCACTAGGAGGTTGACTAACTCAATCGACACAATCACTCATCGACTATATGTCACTCCATTTTCTCCATTCCTTCAAGACAAGGAATAAATTTCTTTCATTTAGCACCATGATCACTAGTAGCTCTAGAATCTTTTAGTGACACCACAAGAGACATTCACCACAATTCAAGCACTTCAAATTGTATTGATAAATAAATTTATTTTAATCCATTTCAACCAAGTTAGTCCCTCTGATTTTTTCTCCCCTTTTGAGTCTTCAAGTAAAAAATATTTTCTAATATGTGTTGCATGGCGTTTTCATATTGTATTTCGAATATTTACTCAAAGCAAACACAAGAAATTCTCTCTTATTGTTGTGATATTGTAACATGAAATAATATTAAAATCAACAACACTCCTAAACATCATAGACAGGTTTAGTAGACCTTCAGAAGTACCTTCCACTAAGAGGACATATTAATGATCAACCACAAGAAAATTAGCATCAACAAATAAATCTTGTTCTACAGCTGATTAGATTAATCATAACTGCAACAATAAAGAGCCACAACACTACTGAAAAACAATACGAAATCATGAGTTCTAACAATATCTCTTCCCTTTATATTTTTCAGTCCAATAACTTTACAGCTTTAAGGTTTTTTATGTAATATCCAAATTCCTTAAGGTAGTGTGCGAACTAAGCTCAATTTAATTATACCCCAATTTTGTTTCTACTTTTATCATAGAATATTTATATCATATTTTATAAAATTCTATAAATTGTTAGGATCTTTTTATAATACACACACACACACAAAATTCCTAAGGTAATTTAATTTCAGTATAACCAAAATTCCTAAGTTAAATTCTTAATATTTCTGCACCAGTGAAATTTTGTCCTAAAGCATTAATAGCAAACTCCACTAATCTCAAGCATGCAGCAATTGAAATAATGATGTGCGGTGATGATTTAAACTATTGGAAGAAGTGGACTAAGTGGAATTGTTTAATTTCTCATGTCATTGTTAAACCATACTCTATTACCTGGTGGGAGCTCTCGGGTATATCATTTAGAGCCGAAACTTTTGGTGGCATGAAGGGAAGGCTGGCCGGGTACTGGAAGGAGGAAAATTGGGTGATATAGAGGGTTTTGACAGGGAAGTTTTGATGAGGACATCCGACCTTGGAGAGTACCAGAGGCATGGCCAACGGTCTATGACCACAACCACACCACTTTATTTTTTATTATCATTGTATTAGAATAATTTATTTTTGTCATTATTGCATTTTTCATTTATACCCTCACTTAAGGGCCTAGTCCTGTGTAGGCATGTTGGTCTTTTATTCTCATTCATTGTATGAGGCTATTTAAAAGCCACTTCCTCCACTTCTGAGGTTAATGATGATTATTACAAGAAATTTCTGCGCTTGTGTGTTTTCAGAGAGCTTCAGAGTTCTTGGAGAGATTGAAGTCCCTAAGTGAGGGCATCGCAAAACCCACCAACCGTAGGAAGCATCCGGGTTCGTGATCGATTTCCTCTTTTTCCTTCCTTCTCTCTTCCCCACAAATGGCTACGTATTGTACGAAGTTACATTCGTACAGACGACGTCCAGAGTACGAAATGGCTACATATCAGTTCGTCCCGAACAAACTCAAATTTTTTTGAACTGATTGTACTGTGCGATCATAGGTTCGTACAGACGACGTCAAGAGTACAAAATGGGTGCGTACCAGTTCGTCCATACGAACAAGAAATTTTTTTTGAACTATTCGTACAGTACGATCTTAGGTTCGTACAGACAACGTCCAAAGTATGAAATGGACTCGTCCATTTTCGTACCAAACGAAGCATGATTTTGGTAAAACAGATCATACTGTACAATATTAAGTTTGTACAGTACGCTATCCATAGTACGAAATCGGTTCGTACAAAATCGTATCAGACGAATTGGCTCAATTTTGAACTAATTGTACTGTACGATGTAAGTTCATACATACGCAAACTAGAGTATGAAATCAGTTCATACAGGATCATAAGAGCATTTTTTTTAAATGATCATACGTACAATGTGCAATTGTACTGTATGATCTGTGACGGTCAAATTGAAACTTTTAGTTTTCTGGACAATTTTTCATGTCATTCATATTTAAGGTCCTAAAAACTGACTGATAAAGAACTCCTACGAATTCCTACTGCAAATTTCTTTTAAGAGTGCACTTGAAGAGTGTTTGGAAGAGTTTCTTGTGATTGGAGAGAGAGATTTCTTAAGAGGGGATTTACAAGGTTGCCCAACGGTGAGTATCTCTTGCTTGTTTTTCAAAATTCTTCCCTAAATTCTTGAACTCTTGGAAGAAGATTTTCAAAGGAGCGTTGGTACTCTGCCGACACCAAGAGGGTATGAAAGGACGACGGTACTCTACAGATATCCGGAAAGTGTGAAAGGACGACGATACTCTACCGACACTAGGAGGGTGTGAAAGGACGATAGTTCACAACCAACACCAGGAGAGTGTCAAAGGACACTGATTCTCAGTCGTCACCAGGAGGGTGAAAAAGGAAAACGCTACTTTGCAGCACCGGGGATTGGTGGAAGAGAGATTAATTGTAAGGGCTTCTCCTCCTTGCTGTAAGAGCAAAAAAAGAATTACTTTTGTATAGTGCAATACCTAAAGTGGGAGTCTTCAGGGAGTGGAAGTAGGTCTTGTTGGACCGAACCACTATAAATTTCTGTGTTTTTCTACATTTACTTTTTACAATTTTTACTTTTCTGCACTTTTAATTTTGTGGTTAAAAATTTGTTTTTCGAAAAAATTTATTGTGCTTAAAATCATAAAATAATTTTCTATAATTTACCAAGAGATTTTTTAAATTACCAATTCATTGGAGCAATTGCTTTAGGTCTAACGACCTATTCAGACTTACAAGTGGTATCAATGTCTTCTTTCGAAAATTAAAGTTTAGACAGCTTTTTGAAAATGATCATAACTATTTTGAAAATTGTAACACACCCGAAGGATATTCGATCACTAGACCCTCATTGTTTGATAACATCCCTTTTAATTTTTGAAAAACACGTATGTCTACTTTTCTTCAATCGCTTGACTATCGCAAGTGGATTTTAGTACAGGAAGGCTACACTAGATTAACTAGACTTATAGATGACATTTTAACTTAAATACCATTTATTAACTGGACTATAGAAGAAAACGACTTAGTTAAATGCTAAATGTTTAAACAGTTTTTTCTGTGCACTTAAATCTGAAAACTATATGCGAGTATCAACTTGTAAAACTGAAAAAAAAAATTGGGATAGGCTTTGCATTACATATGAAGAAACTAATGAGATGAAACAATCTAGATTGAACATTCTAATACACGATTATGAACTGTTTCATATGAAACCGAATGAATCAATCACTGACTTAAATACTCGTTTCATACAAATAGTCATCTCATTACATGCTTTAGGTGGGGAACTAACGAATGCTTAAAAAGTAAATAAACTCTTAGTTGTTTGCCAACTACTTATGTTGCAAAAAGATAACAGGTATAACGGAATCAAAAGTCTT